AAAATATGGGGAAATGTGTGTGTCAGAGCACTGAAGGAAGGGCATGCACATGCTTCAGAAGCTTAAAACTAAAGCATTTATGAAATACTACTGACAGCTTGTTCATTTCTATCACATACATTTTAAAACTGGTTCTGTGTGTGCTCATGCACTTGAATAGCACAATGAAGCAATGGTCAGACTATTAGAGACTAAAAAAACAAACACAAAACCATAAAGTGGGTCAGGACTTGTCACTTATGATTACACAGGCACTCTTCCGTAGGTCCAGGGGTCATTTCCTGCAGGAGCGCACAGGAGCAGAGCTCTGGCAGTAAAGAGCCCAGGGGGCGGGCACATGCAGCAAGCCCCACCCCCTGCTCCCAGCAGCCCTCAGTCAGAGCAAGAAGCAGCCAGGTAAGTTGCAGAGCCAGCACTGTCTGAAGACATTTCCGTGGTCATGTGGCCAGCATGACTAAACGCCAAAGCGCATGGAATGCTGTTACCTTCCCACCAAAGTGGTACCTATTTATCTACTTGCAATTTCTTGCTTTCGAACTGCTAGGTTGGCAGGAGCTGAGCCAGAGACGGAAGCTCACTCCATCAGGCGGCATTAAGATCTTGAACTGCCAAACTACAGACCTTTCTGTCTGCAGCTCAGCATCTTAACCTCTAAGCCACCGCGGCTTATACCTGCTTTCAAATCACCACTATTGTAGTTATTTCAAATCATTTTCCAAAATGAATTCTATAATATTAATTCATAATAATAATTAATAATATTAAAACTACATTAATCCTGAGTTTTTACTTTTATGGAAGTTTGAATCCCAGACTTGTTCAGTATGTAGGACATGGAGCAGGACTCTGACTATGGGATAGGGAACTCTTTATCCAATTGCTGCTATCTTGGCAGCTGACATTGTGATTCCTGTGTAAGGTGCAGCCACTGATAGGAGAACTCACAGTCTATAGTACAACACTGTACAGTATGGTAAAATGTGGAATAATATAGTGCAACATGTATCATTCAAAAATGAGGATGTTTGAGAGGCAAGTTAAGCATGGCTGAATAGCTGTGGCTTGACACTGTTATCTACAATAACTTCAACAGGTAGGACAGGCTCAAACTGTCTATTTTTGATACTCCAGTGGAAGGTCATTTACTAGCTGTGTGTGGTGCACTGAACAGAAGTTAAAGTCTTGGATAGGGAAGTTCCAGCATTATGTTCCTTTTGAGCTAGTTCTGCCATTTTCCTGCCCCATGACTAGAGAAGTGGATATACTTGCTTGTTGCAATGCAGACATTTTTGAAGATGCTTTCTAAGGATGCGTTTTGATAGAAAGAATTCCACATTGATACAATCTACCTAGTTTTCTTACAGGGATGCATATAATTTGCTTTCTATTTGTCTTAAATCATTGGATAAAAAGGTTACATCATCTTCCATACAAAGGGTTGCTAAATGTTTATAAGAACACAACAGGTACCCTGCCGGATCAGGCCAGTGGTACATCTAGTCCAGCATTCTGTCCACAGCATGACCTACAGTAGTGTCCAGTCTGAATGTGATTACAGCATGAATGACCACCGCTCAGTTATTCTTCTCCAGAAAAGTTTTTAAACCAGCCAAAGCTTGAAAAGAAAGCATGCTAATGGCTACTGCTGCCATTTATACATCCAGATGCGACGGTGGATCCTTGAGCACACCAAACAGAGAATGCAACGGCCTATCCTCGTATCAGAAGTATTCTCAATCAACAGGGCTCCCACCTTGTCTAGATTTCTTATAGGGTTGCCGCAGGGCCGGACCATCCATAGATCGAGATTAGGCAGCTGCCTAGGGCGCCATCTAAAAGAAGAGTGCCACACTGGCCTGCCTGCTGCCCTTTGCCTTACCTGCCCGCGCCTCGCCTTGCCTCAAGCCCTACTCAGCTCAGGCTGCTCTGCTCGCCCTGTGCTCCTCCTCCTCAGTTGGAGGGTGCTGCGCTGGTCTGCCGCCCAGCCCCTCCCCTCCCTCTCACCTGCCAAAAGCCCTGCTGCAGCTGCTCTGCTCGCCCAATGCTCCTTGGGTCAGAAGGAAGTGGAACCGAAGCGGCAATCTGAGCGAGCACATGCACATTGCGCCGCGCTGGCCTGCCACCCCTCCCCTCCCTCGCCCGTGGAGACAGCACACTGGAGCTAAATGGAGAGGCTATATCAGTTCAGATTCCCACCTCCTGTGACAGGAAAGGTGAGTGTGGGTGGGTGGGTGG